GAGCACACATACTTGTCGTCATGGTGGTGGTGTAATGGAGAGGCTTACACACTGCTGCGTAGCGGTCATAAGCCATAGAGGCTAAGAGTAAATTCTCCACAGTGGCCAAGGCTACGAAAAAGAATAACTGAGCAGCACAGGCATTGTAGGAGATGACTTTGTCTTGTATAAGGAACCCAGCAATGACCTTGGGAGTGATGGTTGTAGAGTAACACAAGTCCACAAAAGACAGGTTACTGAGGAAAAAATACATGGGAGTGTGGAGACGAGAGTCCAACATGATTAACACCATCATCCCCAGGTTTCCAGTCAGAGTGATGAGGTAAATGAGGGTGAACAAGACAAAGAGTGGAATCTGAAGATCTGCGGAGTTGGTTAGACCCACCAGAATAAAATGAGTCACCTTTGTAGTATTCTCCATGTGACCTACAGGATTATCTGAAAAGATGAGAAAAGAAAGGAGCACTTGGTTAATGTAAAATAATCATAAACATTTTGCATGCACACTCATGCATGTATTTCATTGTTTCCTCCTTTTTCCATAGTCATTTTTTTTTGATTTTCTAATCTAGACCATTAATCAGAATGAAGGAAATATTTAATGGACATCTTAATCTCTTATTTTGTGGCTTAGAGAAATATCTAAGGCTGGGTGAATGGAAGAGAGTAGTTTATTTGACTCATTATTTTGGACAAATGGAAGGTCTAAATGAATCACAGGATAGTAGAAGGCAGGATCTTGAGAAGAGTAGCTGTCCACAAGTTTCCACCTGCTCTGGTCTCCTTCTTCTTACATACACACCAGAGCCAATAATAGAGTTCCTGCCCTAATCAATTTATTACATCAAAAGATATAATCATGGTTCACAATGAAGAGATTAAGTTTCCAGTTAATACCTTTTAAATACAATCAAATTCCAACATATGGATTTATGATGAGACATCAACTTATGACAGTGGGTATATTATTTATAGGATTACAGACTTTGGAGGTTGAAGAATTTAATAGATTACATGCCCATCTTCTTTCTTGCATAAGTGGACAACCTGAGGTGCAGAAGTGAAGAAATAAGTTATGATTTGTTTAATGTCACACAATTATAAGAGATTCAGTTTCCAAATCAGATTACCTGAATTAACAGCTAACTTTAAAAAAAATGTTTTATTTAATTTTATTTATTCATTCTTTTTTTTTATTTGGACAGAGAAAGACACACACAGTGAAAGAGAGAGAAGAAAAGTGAGAAAGCAAACTAGTATGTCTTGGTCTTGAACCATGATTGACCATGTGGGAGTGTCCATTGCCTTAACCACCATGCCACCTGCTGGTCCCTACAGCTAACTTTTATAGTGCTCATTGTAAGCACTTCCATGTATGCTAAATCTGTATAATTTCCTCAATGAACTATAAAAATATTGAGAATTTTTGGCAAATTTATATAACTATCAAGTGACAGAGTCAAGTTTTGAACCCAGAAGCAGTGATTCACAAGTCTCATATTATTATCTGAACTTTAATTGAATTCAATTTAACTCAGTTTTCATTTATTAACTTATCCATTAGACTAAGCTTAATGCTTGCGGATGACAGTGGAGTAACTGAATCGTTTATATAAACTATATGTAGTGAGATAACAACTCAGCAGCAGTAGCTGCATATACAACCAGCAAAGACATTTTTTTAGAGAGAGATTGTTGCTATAGGTCATGTGCTCTTGCCAGAGAGACGAAAGACAGAAAGTAAGAAATCACCCCTCAGGGGGATTGCTACACTGCAATCCCTTCTCCAGTCTCCTTTTGGGATTTCGGGCACTCACGTACCTGCAGCCGGCATGAGTTTGAGGCCACCAGGTCCAGGACATGAACTGTAGTTGACCATGTGGGAGTGCAGCAATGCACCATTACTCCATCTGCTGGTCCCAGCAAAGAAAATTCTGTAGAGAGGCAAAATCAGTGAACTTGGACTTTATTTATTTATTTATTTATTTGAAGAGATTCTTGCTGTAGGGAGCGTGCGCTCACCAGACAAACAGAGAGAGTCAGAGAAACAGAAAGGAGGAAATCACCCCCCGGGGTGGATGGCCACACTGCAATCCCTTCTCCTCTTTCTCCTCTCGGGATCTTGGGCACACACACACACGCACCAAGCGTGAGTTTAAGCCACAGGGTTCAGGACTCGAACCGTGGTCAACTACGTGGGAGTCCAGTGACAGAGCCATTACACTAACTGCTGGTCCCTGAACTTGGACTTTAAGAAGAGGTGTAAATGCATTCAAATAAGACTCACCACTTTGTACTGAGAAACACAACTCCTAACATAACTTCTTTGAGTCTCATTTCAACCATCTTGAGATACAGAGAGTAATAAAATATAATAAAAGCTATTGTAGTCCAACCTTGGTGGTACACATTCATGCTGGTGAAGGCACATGGGAAGGTCCTAGGCTCAGGTCCCAAGTTCTTCCTGTATATTCAGGACATGTGTGTGCCTATAATTTTGGCTGACTGAACCTGAGGATGAATCATAATGGAAAGACCCTGTTGGGAGTTCTTATCTCTCTCTGCCTCTTTCTGTCTCCCTCTCTCTGTCATGGAAGAAATAAATAAATTAATAAATAACGTTTTACAAAGGAGTTGCCGTTAAGAGTTAAAAGAAATAACATAGAAAACCAGTTACCATAAAGCAGAGTTCAGCACAGGCTTTATGAGTGCTTGCTATGACATTCTAATTAGGATGGGATGATGGTCTATATCTTGGTTTGAAAAAGATCTGGGATGAAGTGACCTCCAAGGTGTGGGTGAGTATGAAGCCTAGAAGTCATTTGTTTGATCTGCATTTTCTCACACGGTAGAGGAACACTCATTGTTTTTTATTGTTTCTCTTTATGGATCACCCATTCTAAGTGAGGATCCAAGGACTTCTAGCTTAATTTTCCTGCCTTTCTATTTTGAAGAAGTTTTATTTTCTCTATTTATTTATATTTTTAAAGACAGAGTGTCATTGTTCTCTTCCTCTAACCTTAGCCTTCTAGCCTAGACAACATACATGCACCACTGTGCTTTATTCTTTTTTAACATGGTTTTGCTATGTTGCTTAGGTCAGCCTTGAGCTCACAGGCCACCAACTTCAACCTTCCTGAGATGTTAAAGTTATGGTACATACCACTATGCCTCGTCTCTGTGCTGTACTGGAAATTGAATATATGGTTCTCATATGATCCCAGAGTTCAGAATAGGAATTTTCCTTTTTGAAAACTCATTCCTACTCTATCTACTCCCATTGTTAGATAATTCATGGAGATAGAAGATTGAAAATACATGAATAGGAGATTTTCTTCTAGTGTTCAGATGTGTAATTGTGGCTACTGGCTCTGTAAGATTGGTTTTTCATTTGTAATTTGAATTCGGAGACTTTGGCAGCATAATTTTGTGTAGATGTCTTTGTTAACCCTTTTCTAGCAATTTTGTAACTTCACTCAATATTACTAGTCCCTAACAGTATATTTGTTTGCTTATTAACAGCATACATGATATGAAATCTAGAAATTTTATAACATAAGCTATATTTTACATTCACTTACTAGAGAATTATAGACTCAGATGCTAGTATAGTTTACTTACTTTTTACAACTTTATAAATCAGTACTATTGCCAATACAGAATAGGAAAGTGAGAATATTACAAGTTATAGAGTGTCAGGATCTAATTAATTTTGTGAGGCACTTTCTGGAATCTAAAGATATATCTGCACAAACTGGTTCAATTTCCGTACAGTGATGGAGAAGTAAGTAAAGTAGTGAACAGGTAGTAAAGAAGATCAAATTACCAATTATTCATTGAAAGCATTGTTTATAATAGATTTCCCCCATCCTGTTTAGGAATTAACTTTGTGCTTTATGAAAATCATGAAATATCCTACTGGAAACAACACAGGATATTTTTAGGACTCCAATCTAACCCCTTTAGAAAAATGTTCTTGACATCATATCTTGAGCTCAAATAAAGCTCAACAGTTACAGCTTCCCTAATATTTTTATATTATTACACTTCTCACAGAAAATGTATCTAAAATATACCAGCTTACCTTGTTTCATGAGAAAAGGTACTGAGATCCTGAATTTGAAATGAGCAATCTGAAACTCTGCCACAGGAAAACGAGTAATTCTATCAGAGAATCTCTCTCTTAGACACAGATAAAAAATTGACTTAAAAATTCACTTATCCTATGCCAATCTAAATATTTTTAATTTGTGAAATAAACATATTATTAAGGCTCCAACATATGTCAGAGAATTATGCAGAACTATACTTTGAAAAGTAAGATGAAGTCTATAAAACAACTCAGTAAAGGCCTATTACTTTAACCACATTCAACCCAATTTTTATGTTGGGCATTTTTCTCTGTCATTGACTGCAAATTCAGAAGCTGTGGTTTGGGACAAAGCCAACATATGTACTAACAACCATTCCTATTCAGGTGAAAAAATTCATGACCAAAGGAACTCTGAACATTGTCTATTCCCACTAAAATGTGAAACAGGAGAACAAGTTGGTATTTCAAAGGCAGTGGATGTGGGTAAGGAGGGACTTCTAGATATGGAAATCTCAAAGGAACCGCCCTCTTGTGAGGGCAATGGATTCTCTTATACCCTTTGTTCAGGGAATAAGCAATTAAACTGCGTCTGGGAACCTAGCTTAGTTTTCTGAACAAGTTCATAGTTGTATTTCCATTATTTGTCATATTTTTTTCCTTTTTAGTTAAAAAAGTATAATTTATATACAGAACATTAAATGTATAATTTTGAGAATGTGGACAAATAGAAGTGACCATGTAATCACCATGACAATCAAGAACTACTCTAGGACTCAGCAATCTCACCACAGGGTATCTATTCAAAGTGAATACAATGAGTGTGCTGAAGAACTCTCTATACTCCTATGTTCATTATACTCCCATGTTATTTACAATAGCCATAAGTTAATATGTTTACATATCAATTTATGTGTCCATCAATGAATTAGAGGATAAAATCGATGTGATATATGTATACAATGGGAGAGTATTCAGCAATAAAACAGAAGAAAATCCTGTGACAACTTTGATGTCCCTGGAGAACATCATGTTAATAATTCAGACAGGAAAATGGACATACTCTTTAATATCACTACATGTGGAACCGAAAACAGTTGCCCTCATGAGGATAGAGAATAGAATGATAGTTAACGAAGACATGTATGATTAGGGGAGAGTAGAGATGGGGAGATGTTGATCAAAGTATGTTAGATTGAAGCATGAGCACCCCAATTTTGAATGTGACTCTCCTGCCATTTCCCTTTCCCGGTACTCTGACCCGTATGTGTCTCCTAAAAATTCCTCACTGAATACTTATCAACACTCGATAAACACTGCCGTCCTATCATGTCCTCCTAACTAAATATTTATCACCAGGTGATGTAGTCAATTATAACTATTCATCCCATTGTAACTGTCCAGCTAATTATAACTGTCCTTCCAGATAACTCACTTTTTTTGGCTTTTGTTAACCGTTTTCATATAACTCAAGGCCTGTAGGCCTGTACTTCCTTAGATGTGCAGTTTTTTTTTTTTCTTTTTTTTTACCTTTGAGGTTTATGCCTTTATAAAACTTCCTCTCTCCTGCTTTGGGGCTGCAAGGTTTTGGAGTAACTTGAGTCCTCCTGGAGCTGCTAGCTTAATAAAGGCTCCTTTAATTTGACTAAAAGTAGAATGCCCTCTTATTCTTGCACTGATTGAAATACAATATTTGGAGGCCCTAGCGAGATTTAACCTAGTAGTACCTGGATGAGGCCTCCAGGGAGGGCAGCCTCATGCACCCAGCTTCCCAACACTCAGGGTACTCTGGGGGAGGCAGAAGCTGAGATTTTCCAGAACCCTAAGGACACCTTTCTGGATCTTTGATAGCCAGACGAGGGACACCAACTGTTCCTCCCAACCACAAAGTCTTGGTAAGAAACCCTCTGGAGTCTTTCCTGTTCTTTTCTCCTCTGTTTCTCCTTACTCTTTCTGATTAAGACTAGCTGATTCAGGAGTATGAGACTGGCACACGAGGTACCGCTGATGAGTATTTCAGGTCCAACTGGGTGCAACTGAAGGAGTTTCTACTCGGATTCCACCAAGACATTGCTGGAATTGAGAGCTGGGCAGATATGTGTCTCTAGTGGGTATTTGAATTCTTCCTTAGACAGTGCCTGACAATCTGGGTTGCTAGATCAGGGCTTTAAGTCCCTCCTTAGGTAGAAGTCTAGCAGTCTACATTGCTAGTTTGAGGGTTCAAGTCTGTCTTAGCCCTTAGGAATCTTGCATTTCACTAGATTGGGTGTTTGAGTCCCTTCTAACCATTGAGTATTTCACTTTATGAGTCCATTCTGTGACTACTGTCACTTTCAGGAATATTTCTTGGTGAGAGGTAATGTCTTGTTACTTCTTGTTTCAATGGTGAATGAGTGACCATGTGACTGTGTTCTTGACTCATGGCTTTGGCCACAGAGTCTGAGTGGGTCCTCATCTGAGGTTCCATGGCAGCGTCATACAGTTTAGGACTGCCTTGGGCACTAAGGTATTCCATCCCTCCTTGTGTGCCCAGTCCTACCAGGTGTTTATACCCGACAGCCAATAGTGAGGGGCACCAACGTTTCCAATGAGGGGTGCAGTCAGACACGTACCTATTTTATCACCTCTTCGGAGGAGAGACCCCACCCTTTGTTTGACTTGCAGCATCATTGCAGGAAGAAAAACTTGGAGATACTTGATTCTCTTGTATATCAGGAAAGTACTCGTGCCCTCACATACTGGGCACTTTCTTCCTGAAGAAAGTGAGAAAATGTCCCTGAGGTAGGACACTAAGGCTTACCTCACTCATTTCTCTCACAGGTCAGAAGACTGCCTCTTATGTCAATATTCTTGGTATGGTTTTTAGAAGATCTACCCCTATCTTGGTTAGGTCCAAAACACTGACTCCCTATTATCATTCATTTCTTTTGTCATCTCCCCCTCTTTTTGTCTGTCACTCAGAAGTAGCTTCACTGAGTTAGAGAATACTTTGAAAGGGGACCTACCCTCTTCTTGTTAGTCCACCTACATTTCTCTCTAGCTAAATACTTTTGTCCTTTCACTGGGGAACAGTGTCATTGCTTTAGGGATCTGAAGCTAGGCAGTGCTTTTTAAATCTTTGTCAGAAGTGTTCAAGAAAGACTATTTTAAGACAACTCCCATAGAGAAATATTAAGTTCAGAAGCCCATATAGTTCATTTTGGCCCCTGAACTCTTTTTGACCTCAGTCTCAGCAGTCTCATCAGTCTGGTTGCAGGCTCTAGACAATTCAATGGTTACAGCCTCAGACAATTCAAAATCTTTGCAGAGGCAGATTCATGGCATAATACCTACTTCCCAGAAAATTAGCCCTCTTAGTGCACTCACTCGTGTGCACTCATAGTCCTTTCCTCCAGCCTGTGGCAGGAGATTGAACAAACCCCCAAGGGATCTTGGAAGTCATTCCTATGTTTGCTAGGGCTGCATACTCTGAACTGCTTGTCATTGTGCTTGCCATTGTACTAGTCCTTTGTCTACCCTGGACTTACATCAATGGCCCCTAGTGACTGGAGTTGGTTCCAGAGATGTCTCTCGGCTTTGATTGACTTGAGAAGCGTTGGGGTTTTCATTGCACTGTGGTGTTTTTAACTTGCAAGAAGCCCAGCATAACTCACCTGGAGTGTGGACGTGAGGCTGGTGGAGCACACTGGGACTCATGGGGTCACAGAAGTGAGCATGCATCGCTACACCACTGAGCTCTGCATGCACCACCTGGCTCTGCATGCAATTGTAAGCTGTAGCAGCTCAGGCAGGGCTGAGCAAGTCCCTGAACTTAAATAACTGCAGGAAGCAGGCGCATGCTCAGAATCCATACCTGTCTTCCTGAACTCTGGAGTCAATTTTTTACCATAGGTGGACAAAATAGTTCCATTAAAACCCCATTTAAATATATGCTTAATATATTAAATATATGTGTAGACAAATTGCGTAGCCACTACCACAATTATAGAAAAGATTCCTATCATCCTAGAAAAAACCCCTGAGATTCTTGTAGTCTTGTAGTCAATGCTTTCTTCTACCTATGACGTGGCAACCACTTAATTGTTTTTTTCCACACAGTTATGACTTTACAAGAATTTCCTTTCAATAGAATTTTACAGTCTTACTATTACATAGACTGTGAGTATGGGTCCTTTAATTTATTGTACATTTTGAGATACATCTTTTTTTTTTTTTAGGAATAGAGATTTTTAATTTATTTGAATAAATACATAGGAGTTAGATTCTTTTTTTTTATTTTAATTTTTTATTTATTTAATTTTTTTTGGAGAGGTTTTCGCTATAGGGTGCGTGCGCTCGCCAGACAGACAGAGACATGGAGACAGAAAGCGAGCAGGGGGGATGGGCACGCCGCAATCCCTTCTCCTCCATTCTCCTCTCGGGATCTTGGGCACGCACGCATGCGCGCCTAGCGTGAGATTTAAGCCACCGGGTCCGAGACGCAAACCGCGGTCGACTACGTGGGAGTCCAGCGACATAGCCATTACGCTAACTGCTGGTTCCCCAGGAGTTAGATTCTTGTGTCACATGGCAAATATATGTTTAATGGAATGGAATCGGCTGAACTGCTTTTGAAGTGGTGCTATCACTTTGCATGTGTACCATAAATGTATTTTAACTACTTTACATTTTTCTAGCATTTGTTACTACAAGGTTTTAAAAATTTTGTTTTACTTTTAATTCATGCTCATCTCTTGCTCTTTCTTTAATTAATTTTTAAATTATGGTTCATACATTAAATTGCTATACATCATTTAGATTGTGAAGAGACTTTACCCAGCATGATATACACTTCAGTGCAGCCCAGTTGAGACTATTATGCACATACTCGTTAATAGATAAGAAACCTTATCTGTGTCCCACAAGTATCTTACCTTTCTATTTTACCCCCATATTTCCTTTCCTATGCTTTTCCCTTCCCACACTCTCTTTCTGCTTTGTCTCTAGTATCCATTATAATTTTCGATGCTTTTATCTTCTCCAGTCTTTCAGTCTGTACCATAGAGTGCAGACAGTTGGTATATGTTAAGTGGAGACATACAATGTCTCTCTTTCATAGCTGACTTACTTCACTCAGCAATGAGTCTTCCATATTTGTCCACTTTCTATCAAATTCCAGGGCCTTGTTGTTTTTTATGGTTGAATAGTATTCCATGGAGTACATGTGCCACAATTTTTTAATCCATTCATCTGTTTTAGACATTTGGGTTTGTTCAGTGTCTTAGCAATCGTGAATAGTGGCACAATAAACATCAATGTGCAAGTCCTTTTCCAATTCATTCTTCTGTCCTTTTGGTAGATACCCAGGAGTGGAATTGCTGGATCATATGGTAGTTCTACTTGAAGGTTTTTGAGGAACCTCCATATCATTCTCCACAGTGGCTGGCAAGTTTACATTCTCACTGCCCAAATATTCAAGAAGGGATGGGCAAGCCATAATAATTCCTTCTCCATTATTCTTGTGTGCACACTTACCTGTCATGTTTCAAGCCACCAGGTCTGAGACTAGAACTGCAATCAGCAAATGGAAGTTCAGCACTTTAAGTACTATAGCACCTGCTGGTCCCACTCGGTACATTTTTAAATAGTGTGAGATGTTTGTGGTCATATACAAATACATTACTATTATTATTTTATACTAAAATGAGTTTATTTTTTGGGAAAATTTTTGTGTGTCTATGTAGGTTCTACAAAACAATAAGGTCAGAAACAATTTTAATTTATGTAGGATGCAGTAATAATTTATGTCTCTATCAAATGAGACCCCAAGGAACATACTTTCATTTAAAGTCCATAATTTTTTCCCTACTTTGTGTTTTTAGACTAGTAATATAACTAAAGAAAGAAACACAAAAGTTTGTTTTAATACCCAAATTAATATAAATTGCTTTAATAAAAACTACTCATACTTCACTTTCCTCCGACAAATTTCTCATTTATATGTACTTCTAAACAAACATATTTTGTACTCTTTTACACATATACTTGCATTGACATAGGTAGAAAAATATAGTGGGGCAAGTGAATAAATCAAGTGTCATTTTAAAATATTTTGACGAGACCCCAACATATATGCTATCATCATGAAGATAATAAATTTCTAGACTTGTTTTCTTTTTCCTTGGCAGCAAATTTTAAAGCAAGCCAGTCTCCACAGAAATCAAATTGCATTGTGAAGGTAAAATGTGATTAATTTCAGGGAAAAGTTCTGAAGGAAATGAAGCTAGGTTATAATGCACCCTACAAGGTTAAAAGCAGAGTCTTCCAGACAACTTTGTCTTCTCAACAACCTTCTTGAATGCATTCTTGACTTCTTTGTTTCTAAGGCTGTACACCACAGGATTCAGCATGGGGATGACCATAGTATAGAACACAGATGCAATTTTATCTGTGTCCATTGAATGGTTGGAACTCGGCTGCAAATACATGAAAATAATTGTCCCATAAAAAATGGAGACTGCAGTGAGATGGGATGCACATGTGGATAAAGCTTTTTGGTGTCCCCGAGAAGAATGCATCTTCAAGATGGTGATAAATATAAATAGATAGGAAATCATGATAACCAGAAGACCAAAAGACACATTAAAGCTTGATATAAAAAGAAGAATCAACTCACTAATATGTTTATCAGAGCAAGAGAGAGCCATGACTGCTGGAAAGTCACAGAAAAATTGATGGACCACATTGGACTTACAGAAAGAGAGGTTGAAAGTATTACAAATGTAAATAGAGGCAGTCAGGAAACCGTAGATGTAGGGACCTACGGCCAGGCGAGCACACATACTTGTCGTCATGATGGTGGTATAATGGAGAGGCTTACACACTGCTGCATAGCGGTCATAAGCCATAGAGGCTAAGAGTAAATTCTCCACAGTGGCCAAGGCTACGAAAAAGAATAACTGAGCAGCACAGGCATTGTAGGAGATGACTTTGTCTTGTATAAGGAACCCAGCAATGACCTTGGGAGTGATGGTTGTAGAGTAACACAAGTCCACAAAAGACAGGTTACTGAGGAAAAAATACAAGGGAGTGTGGAGACGAGAGTCCAACATGATTAACACCATCATCCCCAGGTTTCCAGTCAGAGTGATGAGGTAAATGAGGGTGAACAAGACAAAGAGTGGGATTTGAAGATCTGTGGTGTTGGTTAGACCCAGCAGAATAAAATGAGTCACCTTTGTAGTATTCTCCATGTGACCTACAGGATTATCTGAAAAGATGAGAAAAGAAAGGAGCACTTGGTAAATGTAAAATAAACATAAATCTCTTTTGCATGCACACACATGCACATATTTCATTGTTTCCTCATTTTTTCATAGCCATTATTTATTCTTTCTGATTCTCTAGTCTAGATCATTAATCATAATGAAAGAAATATTTAATAGACATCTTAATTTGTTATTCTGTGGCTTACAGAAATATCTAAGGTTGGGTGAATTGAAGAAAGTAGTTTATTTGACTCATTATTCTGGGCATGTGGAAAGGCTAAATGAATCACAGGACGTTAGAAGGCAGGATCTTGAGACGAGTAGCTGTCCATAGGGTTAAAGACTTTGGAGATTGCGAAATTGACACAGATTACATACCCATTTTCTTTCTTGCATAAATGGACAACCTGAGGTGCATAAGTGAAGAAATGTTTTGATTTGTTTAAGGTCACATACTTGCAATAAATTCATATTCCAAATCAGATCACCTGAATTAATAGCTAACTTGTTAAAAAGAATTATTTAATTTAATTTTATTTATTCATTTTTTAAAAAATTTGACCAGAGAGAGACACAGAGAGAGAGAGAGAGAGAGAGAGTGGGAAAGTGAGAAAGCAAGCCACCAGATCTGGGACTTGAACCATGGTTGGCCATGTGGGAGTGCCAGTGCCTTAACCACCATGTCACCTTCTGGTCCCCACAGGTACCTTTTATAGTGCTCATTCTAAACACTCCCATGCATGCTTAATATGTTTAATTACCTCAATGACTTATAAAAATATTGACAATTTGTGGCAAATTTATATAAATATCAAGGGACAGAATCAAGTTTTGAACTCAGAAGTGATTCACAAGACTCATATTATTATCTGAACTATAATTGAATTAAATTTAACTCAGTTTTCATTTATTAACTTATCCATTAGACTAAGTTTAATGCTTGAGGTTGACAGAGGATTAACTGAGTCATTTATATAAACTATATGCAATGAGATAACAACACAGAAGCAGAAGCTGCATATGCAATCAGCAAAGAAATTAAATGTTAGAGAGATTTTTGCTATAGGCCATGTGCTCTTGTCAGAGAGACAAAAGACAGAAAGTGAGAAACCACCCCTACAGGGGATTGCCACGCTGCAGTCCCTTCTCCAGTCTCCTTTTGGGATTTTGGGCATGCACACGGCATGAGTTTGAGGCTGCCAGGTCTGGGACTTGAACTAGAGTTGACCATGTGGGAGTTCAGTGATGTAACCATTACTCCATCTGCTGGTCCTAGCCGAGAAAATTCTGAAGAGAAGGTAAAGAACTAAATCTGGGCTCTGAGAAGAAGTGTGAATGCATCCAAATAAGACTCACCACTTGGTACTGAGAGACACTAGTCCTAAAATAACTTATTTGAGTCTCATTTCTACCATCTTGAGATGCAGAGAGTAATAAAATATAATAAAAGCTATTATAGTCCAACCTTGGTGGCACACATTCATGACGGTGAAGGTACATGAGAAGGTCCTAGGCTCAGGTCCTGAGTTCTTCCTATACATTCAGGACATGTGTGTGCCTATAATTTTGGCTGACTGAACCTGGGGATGGATCATAATGTAAAGACCCTGCTGGGAGTTTTTGTCTCTCTCTGCCTCTTTCTGTTTCTCTCTCTCTGTCATGGAAGAAATGAATAAATTAATAAATAACCTTAGGAAGGAGTTTTATTAAGAGTTAAAATAAATTATATAAATAATATACAAAACCAGTTACCACAAAGCAGAGTTCAGCACAGTCTTTATGAGTGCTTGCTATGGCATTTTAATTAGGATGGGATAATAGTTTCTATCTTGGCTTATCTGGGGTGAAGTGACCCCCAAGGTCTGGGTGAGTATGAAGCCTAGAAGTCCATTGTTGTATCTGCTTTTTCTCACAGAGTAGAACACTCAGTGTTTTTCATTGTTTCTCTTTATGAATCACCCATTCTAAGTGAGGATCCAAGGACTTCTAGCTTAATTTTTCTGCCTTTCTATTTTTAAGAAGTTTCATTTTTTTCTTTTTATTTATTTATTTTTTTAAAGACAGAGTCTCATTGTTCTCTTCCTCTAACCATAGCTTCCTAGCCTAGACAACATACACACACTACTGTGCCTTATTCTTTTTTATCACGGCCTCACTATGTTGCTTAGGTCAGCCTTGAGCTCACAGACCTCCAACTCCAGCCTTCCTTAGGTGTTGGGGTTGTGATTCATACCACTATTCCTGATCTCTCTGTTGGACTGGTAATTGAATATATGCTTACCATATAACCCCAGCCATCAGAGTATTGATTTTCCTTTTTGAAAACTCATTCCTACTCTATCTATTCCCATTGTTAGATGATTCATGGAGATAGAAGATTGAAAATATATGAATAGGAGATTTTCTTCTAGTGTTCAGATGTGTGCTGGTGGCTACCTGCTTTGTAAGATTGGTTTTTCATTTTAATTTGAACTTAGAGACTTTGCCAGCATAATTTTCTGTAGCTATCTTTCTTAGCCCTTTTCTAGCAATGTTGTAACTTCACTTGATATTGCTAGTCTCTTACAGTATATTTGTTTGCCAATTAACAGCATACATGATATGAAATCTAGAAATGTTATAACATAAACTATTTTTTACATTCACTTACTAGAGAATTATAGATTCAGATGTTAGTATAGTTAATTTACTCTTTACAACTTTATAAATCAGTACTATTGATAATACTTTACAGAATAGGAAAGTGAGGATTTTACAAGTTATAATACTCCCTAATATCACATGTCTACTGTAAGGTAGATTCAAGGCTCAATTGTAGGTATGACTGACTTCACAACGTGTACTCTAAACTACCACATTGCTGAGTGTTTTCTAGAGGTAAAGATAGAGGAGAGATTATCTCGTAAAGAATAATAGAATAGTGTAAGGATCTAAATAATTTTGTGAGGAACTTTCTGGAATCTAATGAAATATCTGCACAAACTGGTACAATTTCCGTACAGTGACAGAGAAGTAAGTAAAGTAGTGAACAGGTAGTAATAAGATAAAATTTCCAGTTACTCATTGAAAGCATTGTCTATAATATATTTTTGCCCATCCTTTTTAGGAATTAACTTCATGATTTATGAGAATCATGAAACATCCTACTGGAAACAACATAGGATATTTTTAGGATTCCAATACAAACACTTCAGAAATACGTTCATGACATCATTATCTTGAGCGCAAATAAAACTCAGCAGTTGTAGCTTCCCTAATATTTTAAAATTATTACACTTCTCAAAGAAAATGTATCTGAAATATGAGCTTACCTTGCTTCTTGAGAGAAGGTACTGAGATCCTGAATTTTGAATGAGCAATCTAAAACTCTGCCACGGGATAACAAATAATTTTATTAGAGAAGATCTCTCTTAGACACAGATAAAAAAGTGACATAAAAAAGTCACTTATCCTATGCCAATGTAAATTTTTTTTTAATTCATGAAATAAACAAATTAAGACTCCTGCATATGTCAGAGAATAATGCAGAAATATATTTTGCCTCCGAAAAGTAAGACAGGGACTATAAAACAGCTCAGTAAAGGCCTATTACTTTAATTCATTCAATCTAATTTTTATGTTGGGCATTTTTCTCTGTCAGTGATTGCAAATTCAGAAGATGTGGTTTGGGACAAAGCCAACATATGTACTAACAACCATTCCTATTCAAGTGAATAAATAAATGACCAAAGGAAATCTGAACGTGGTCTGTTCCCTCTAAAATGTCAAACAGGAGAACAAGTTGGTATTTTAAAGGCAGTGGATGTGGGTAAGGAGGGAGTTCTAGATCTGGAAATCTCAAAGGAATCACCTTCCCATGAGGGCAGTGGATTCTTATTCTCCTTGTTCAGGGAATAAGCAATTAAACTGCGTGTGGGAACCTAGCTTAGTTTTCTGAACAAGTACATAGCTGTTATTTCCATTATTTGACATATTTTTTACCTTTTTAGTTAAAAGAGTATAATTTATTTACAAAATATTAAATGTATAATTTTGAAAATTTGGACAAATGTAAATGATCATGTAATCACCACAACAATCAAGAACTACTCTAGGACCCAGCAATCTCACTATAAGGTATCTATTCAAAGTGAATAAAATGAGTGTGCTGAAGAACTCTCTACACTCCCATGTTCATTATACTCCCATGTTACTTACCATAGCCATAGGTTAACATGTTTACATATCCATTTATGTATCCATCAATGAATTAGAGGATAAAACTGATGTAATACATGTATACAATTGGAGACTATTCAGCAATATGAAAGAAAAAAATCCTGTGACAACTTTGATGTCCCTGGAGGACATCATGTTAAGTAAATTAATTCAGAGAAGGAAATGGGAATACTCTCAAATATCACTACATGTGGAACCTAAAACAGTTGCCCTCATGAGGATAGAGAATAGAATAGTAGTTACTGAAGACGTGTATGATTAGGGGAGAGTAGAGATGGGAGATGTTGATCAAAGTATGTCATATTAAAGCATGAGCACCCCAATTTTGAATATGACTCTACGTCATTTCCCTCTCCCTGTACCCTGCCCCATATGTGTCTCCTAAAAATTCCTCACTGAATACTTATCAACCCTAGATAAACACTGCCGTCCTATCATGTCCTCCTAACTAAATATGTATCACCAGCTGATGCAGTCAATTATAACTATTCATCCCATTGTAACTATCCAGCCAATTATAACTGTCCTTCCTGATAACTCACTTCTTTTGGCTTTTGTTAAGTGTTTTCACATAACTCAAGGCCTGTACTTTCTTAGATGTACAGTTTTTTCCAATTCTCTTTTTTGCCTTTATAAAACTTGCTCCCTCCTCCTTTGGGGCTGCAGTGTTTTGGAGTTACTTGAGTCATCCCAGAGCTACTAGCTTAATAAAAGCTCCTTTAATTTGGCTAAAACTAGATGTCCTCTTATTATCGCACTCATTTAAATAC